AAAGGGCCCACTGGATTCCAGGCAGAATCAGTGAAGAGACCCACACTGACATATCCTGGCAAAATGTTAAAAGTGCTAGAATCATAAGAGGAAAAAATGCTATAACTCACCCAGGGATTGAAAAATGGGTTGCCTACAAAGAAAGGACAGCTGGTAGTGGGGGCTGGAGGCGGGGAGGGGTCGTGGACTTCTCTGTAGTAGTATTCAATATGCATTGAGGCCTCAACTCAAGAATTTCTTGGGGAGAGCTGTGACTCAAGTATTCTCACTCGAGTTGTATTCTGTGTGAAGGCCACAGAGGACCTGTCTTAGCTGCACGTGGGCTGGAAGTGACACTGACTATATACTATGATGAAGGGGAAAAAAACCTACTCAAAGACCTATTCCAGATAACTCAGAGATGATCAAAACCATACTTCAAAATGAAGACATCCCAGAATAAAAGAAACGCAGCTCTTCCCTCATGCAGCTTGGGTCCTGGCTCAGAAACCCAGCCAGAGGCTGTGCTCCCAGCTGTCCTGCAGTCTCTCGGGGCTCGTGGGGGTGGTCAGCACGCCCACCCCCGCTTGCTTTTGGGCCCAATTTCCTGGTAGGCAAGGGTTTCTGGCATCAGAGCCTGTACCCCACAGTTCATATGGATTTTCTCTCCCAGTCTGACAACTGGAGGACAAATCAGTGCCAGCATGCTCCCACACTTGCTCCCAGGGCCTAAACCTCTGTCCCCCTGGCAGGAATGCCAAGCAGCCCTTCCCCTTCCTTAACTAGTGTTACAGAGAAGCAGTGTCGTGTGCTTGTCACTGAGGAAATGGAGTCATGGTTTCTGTATTTTTAAAACATACTGAATGACCTAAGATGTTTTGTTTTTTAATTAATAAACCAGATATCTGTTACACCAAAATATCTTCAGAACAATCATCATGTGTGTAGACAGCTGGTCCTAGGTACAGTCCACACAGACACACACAGAATCATATGGAGGAAAATGCTAGGAAGAGCAAAGGGCGCAGAGACGCCGTCACTAAAACCCCCCGAGTGAAAAGTATCCTGTTGTTCCTGGGAAATTATGGGCTATAATGTCATCAGCAAAGTGACAGGTAGACAGCCCACCCACCCGCTCCTGGGTTCATCCAAGCTGAGGCTGAAGGAACAAGAGGGTTCGCTGTCTCTGAACCCTGGTCCATCACATCCTCAGAGCCGCATCCCAGGCCCCTGAAGGTCGCTCGGGCCTGGAGAGACCTGCTGTGTCTGAGGCAGCTTCTCTGGATGAACTGCCTGTCTCGGCAGAGCCTCCTGGGGGGCCACCTGTCTCCTACTAATGAAGCCTGTGCGCCTTTTGCCTCCCTGTTCCTTGCAGCCGACCGGGAAAATGCTTTCGGACAGCCAGCTTGTTCAGCCTCTGGTCTATATGGAGCGCCTGGAGCTCATCCGAAACATCTGCAGGGACGAGGCCCTGAAGAGCCTCTCGCATACCCCAGTGTCCAAGTTCGTCCTCGACCGAATATTTGTCTGTGACAAGCACAAGATCCTTTTCTGCCAGACTCCCAAAGTGGGCAACACCCAGTGGAAGAAAGTGCTGATTGTGCTGAATGGTGCGTGCGGCGCCGCTGGGTGCCCGTCATCGGTAGCCGGCAGGGTTTGCCCTGGGAGGGCCACTTGGGTTGCCTCCAGAGAGGGCTGGTAACCTCACAGAAAGCTATCTGATTTTCCTATCGGTATTATACTGCAAAAGTTGGTGGGATTCGTTTAGATCAGCAGTTCTCAACCTTCCTAATGCCGCGACCCCTTAATACAGTTCCTCATGTTGTGGTGACCCCCCAACCATAAAATTATTTTCGTTGCTACTCTATATAACTGTAATTTTGCTACTGTTATGAATCGTAATGTAAATATCTTTT